GAGGTGATGATGCCATCTCTGTTTCCCTTACGTTGCTGCCGCGCTTCTGGTTGCATGTGAGGATCCTTGGAGCCCGCCTCGCCAGCTCTGATGTCCCTTGCCGTTCCTCCAGCCTAGGCTAGCTTTCGTTCCCGTCGCCCCGCCCCTCAAGCTGTTTTTGCGGGCCTTCCTAAATGGTATTCAGGAAGGATGTGGTGTATGGTTTCTTTGATGTTCTTTAGTTGGTGGTCCACGCCGTGCTCTCGAGCTTTGGGAACAGGGTTGTTAGAGCTTCTTCCTTGCCTGGTGAGGTGATGAAGGCAATGAGGATGGACATGCAGAGCTTGGACTCACGGCGCCAGGTGGGGGAGCCAGTTTCGGCGATTGCAGGTTGCGTAGAGTTGCTTTCCGATGTGTTGCAATCCGCTTGTGTCAAAGTAACACGGAAGTTCTGTGCTGCTGAGGTCATGCACAACTGGATATCCTGGTCAGGCCGGCTTCCAGCGGCGATTGAGCCCGCAGCCTTGCGCGCTTTGGGTTGGGGGGTTTAAGGTGGGTTTGGATAGGCTTCGACTCGGCTGTGGGCGTCGTGATCATCGCGAACGCCGTCACCATCGGTTTGGTGCCTCGCTGGCAGCTTCTCTTTCATGACACTGCTCGTGCTGTTGCCTCTCTCTCTCTCTCTCTCTCTGTGTCTGTAAGGAAACCCATTACGCCTCGCTGGAATGTTGCAGCCTCAGCTGAAGCAGCCACGATCAGTCATGCTCGCAGGGAAGAAGGCACAATGACGGAACATGCAGCCCCCTTCGGGTTCGACGTACTACGCTGCAGTCGCATGTCTGGGTCGCTGGGCTAAGCCCGACAGTCTTGCTCATTCCTGTGCTGCTGGTCCTAGATGGGGGAAAAGCTCCAGTCGAGAAGCTAGTCCGAAGTCGGGTCACGAATCGCGACAATTGTTTAGCAGAATTGATCTTCTCATTGCATTCCAACTATCGGGCTCTGTGCGCTCCATGATTTCCGTATTCTCGGGTAGCTGCAGCACGTATTGCGCGATGTTGCAACGAACAAACCAATCATCCCTGCTTCTACTCAAGCCAGACATCCCAATGGCAGTTTCAGAAAATGTAAGACCACCTCAAAAAAGGACCTTATTATTCAATAATACGATATTTTGATACTATGATGCCTTAAACTAGTTAATCAAACAAACACTATATTCATAATGGGACCCGTCCAACTCATCCGACGGTCCCCGGCCCAGGCGCCGCCGGCACTTCCTGCGAGTCGATTGGGCCCTCCCCTCACTGCTGTGGAGCGGAGAGCAGGGTAGCAGATGGCCTGAGACACATATCAGTATTAACATTAACATTAACATGAATATTTGTACTATAGTTATTATGAAGCCTCATATCTTGGAACTTTTAAACAGGTTGTTATTACTCATACTATGAGTGTTGTTATTCTTGTCAGGATTCCCACATGGCTCTCCGTCGTGGATAACGTGTTCTTTGCCATCTACGTTGTTGAGCCACTCGGCGGAGTCAACGGCATGAAGATTTCAGGTCGCCATGCACTTAACACAGGGGCCTCAAGAATGACCAATACTATTTTGGGGGCTCCTTATTATAATTATCGTGTCATACACCCCACAGCCCCTATTCTAATTATAAAGGCCCCAAAAGTAGCTTCCTAGTCATGTCTGCACAGGCGGTAGCTTGCAAGTACCCATTTGCGTGGGTGTCCCGTTGCAAATGAGATGTATCCTTTGCCTGAATCCGTCACTTTCTCAGGCATTTTAACTGTCGCTTGCGATTCCCAGGTTCGGCTTGCGATACTATGTTTACGGATGGACAGTCATCAAGAGCAGCTCAGCCCGCAAACTTCGGCATAGCTGGAATGCTGCATACACTCGTATGCTTCCACAGTGGTCAAGCCTATTTGCGTCAAGAGATTGGGCTCTCCCACACATGTCTCGCGTCACGCCGAGGTAACTGGATCAAGTTCGATATTTTCCTCATCGTCAGCTCAACGATTGCTGCTTGGCCTTGAACCCTAGACCCTAAACCCTTAATAACCCTTACAGGTGGATGGGCCACGCACTTTGCCTTGGCTAGGAAGATGCCGACTGCCCAAAGGCTCCTGAGCCTGTCAGCTTAGGATCTCATCTTGCGGCCCATTCAGTTTGACAGTGAGTTGCTGGATCAGATGCGCAGCTGCATTTATGATCCTGTGATTACAACCGACACTCGTATGGAGACGCCTTAAGCATCCGTGTAAAGGCAAACCTGAAAAGTGTATGGTTTTAGTTGCAACGGGCAAGTGCGGAAGGTGTCAGAACGTGGAACGGACCAGCGAGTCTGTCGATGGAAGTCCACGCAGGAACCTGTCTTTAAGATTTCCGACGGCAGAATACGCCTCCACAAGGGGGTTGAGGGGTTGAGGTGGGCACGGGGCAAATGCCGGACCTGGTTGCAGCCGCTTCCGCCGTCTCCTGCGACATCTCCATCTCCGTGGTGCCATGCCGTCACTTCTATGGATCTCCTTGATGATCATTGGGTCCGGAGGTCAAGAGGCCGCGGAGTGTGCTGCAGACAAAGCAAGCTGCAGCCAGGAAGAAAACTTGACCACAGCTTCCTCGTTTCTTCAAATGACTGGAAAATCCCAAGACCCAGCATGGTGCTTGACGCTGTCCTGTGATGATGCGGGTGCTTTCTGCCTGATTTGCAACGACTGCTGCACCTACCTCCTCTTCTGTGACGATGCAGAGGCCCCATCGCCGCCATCACCATCGGACTACGCCTTCCGTCCCTGAGCCGGAGCCGGATCATCACCCGGGTCACCCGGGTCACAATACCAGAGATCTTGGGGACTGGATCAAGAAAACGGTGAAAAAAGGCTGGCACGAGACCGAGCACGTGGCCGAAAAGGGTTGGCACGAGGTCAAGAGCGGTTGGAAGTCTGTCAAGAAGGTGCCCAAGGAAGTCTTTGACAAGGCTATGAAGACGGTGATGGGATTTTGCTCAACATTTCCGGGCTGCTGCGACCTTACGACAAAAGCCCTAGAGACACTGTTTCAGCTGTTGGCGAAGCTCGCGGAGACAACTGGAGAGATGTCAAGTCTGGAATGCACAGAGGTAGCCGCTGGGGCTGTTACTGTGTGTGAGGTCGTCGGGCTTGGACCTGAAGATCCAGCTGCTGATATCTGTGCTGCGACCGTTTCTCGCTGCCATCGAGATAGCCTGCCCCATAGTTTCAACCAAACTCACAGAGATGGGAGTCGAGGCGTTTGTGCCGTGGGTCTTCAAGAAACTTGGAGGTTCATGGGTAGCTATAAGTAGGGTTATAAGTAGGGTACCTATAACTATAACCCCTACTAGGGGACTTATAACCCCACTTATAACTACCCATGAACCTCCAAGAATTGCACATGAAATGTCGTTGAGAGATGGGCCGAAGAGTGGCTTCAGTTGCAAGGCCTCAGCAGGCCGTAGCATCGCTGCCGTTCCAATGCCCCTTCGGCTGTCCTCCACTACCCCGTAACTTGCGTAGACAGTCCAGACACAGGCCCTAAACCCTAAACCCTGAACACACTCACATACACACGCTGTGAGAGCAGTGGAGGAGGAGCTCGGGGCAAGGCTTCCTGGGACATGCTTTGCGACTTACTTTCCTTGAGCGATCAGCCTGCAAGAGTTAGCAGGTGTACGAAGCCTTCAGTTGCACTTGCACGCCATTTCAGACTCAGAGTTTGAGCTTTGCATTTCTATTCTTTCCCACTGCTCGGCTTCAAGGATGATGGTGGTGCGCATGCTACGCCTCGCACGGTTGGCGAGGGCGGTCCGCCTCATGGTGCCATGGTCCCTTGAAGGTTTTTGGTCCAGGATGTTGCCTTACATTGCCTAACTGCGCCTCCAGATTTCTCTGCGAGCACTTGGAGGTTCATGGGTATTTTTAAGTGGGGTTATAAGTCCCCTAGTATGGGTTATAGTTATAGGTACCCTACTTATAACCCTACTTATAACTACCCATGAACCTCCAAGTATGACCCCTTATAGACCCCTTATAGGACCCCCTTTTGGATCCCTTAAAGGAGCCTTATAACTACCCATGAACCCTAAACCCTACAGAACCCTTAAAGGAACCCTATAACCCTACTTATAACTACCCTAAACGGCCCTAAACCCTATAGAATCCTTAAAGGAACCCTATAACCTTACTTATAACTACCCATGAACCTCCAAGCATGACAGACACAGAGGGGTTTCCGAAAATAGGGACCCTAATATAGCGCCCTAAATAATAGGTTCCTTATTATAAGGGCCCCAAAATTCGGAAACCCACATATGATCGCAGTGCGATGCTCCTGTAGCCAGCTGCAAGGTGCAGTTCCAGACGCTGTGGCAGCCACTTGGCAAGCATGCATACTTGGAGGTTCATGGGTAGTTATAAGTAGGGTTATAAGTAGGGTAACTATAACTATAACCCATATTAGGGGACTTAAAACCCACATAACTACCCATGAACCTCCAAGTAGTGCTTGACATCACCTGACTTTGGTCGGTGTTATCGCTAGAGAAAGTTGTTATGTTGCAGACGTTGGTTTCGAGGAGCGTCTTGCTAGCCGTTTTTCCAGATCCGTGTCACAATGCAACAAGGCTGGTTCAGGGCCTGATGCACAGCTTGACTACGTTGCTGCGGCTCGGCCAGCCTTCGTGGTGTGAGAACTGACATAATTCTCTCGAGTCCGTGGGGTTCAAGGAAGACTGCACGTTGAAGATTGAGATTTGCAAGCAGTGTAAGCTTTAAGCAGGGGCACCTCCATGCTGCATTGCAGACTGACCAGGCTACTTCGAGCTTGTGGTTTCTAGAACCTCACTGTCCGAGACCATGGGCCAATGCATCAAGCCACTTGTCCATGGCCCTCGCAGTCGTATGACTCGCGTGCGCCGCATGTTACAATCGACACGCATGCTTCGGGTATCGATTTGCAACACAGACGAACAAAGGGCCTGAAACACCCTCGCACGCCATCCTGGTTGCACAGTTCTGCAGCGTGCGCCTATCTTGCACCTGCCCGGCGCTTGCGTGCTGCGAGTTCACATTGTTGAGCGGCCACTGATGGCATGCTGCCGAAGGAAGCCCAATTTAGGCGGTCCCTGTTAAGCTGCCTGCTGGAAGGATGCACGTCGAGAGTCCACTGGAGTCGGCCACTGATCTGCCACTTTTCGCACCACTCACCATGTTTCGCAGAAGGAGGGCAGCCATGGAAAATCGGAAAGCCATGTGTTGTCGCGCAAACAACTCTGAATGAACTTAGCAAGATGCCAGCCTGGCTGGGCTGGGCTGGGCTGGAGATATGTTGGGCTGGGCTTCGGGTAGGATTCTCGCCGAATGCCTGTTCGAAACGGGGGACCGTCTTGTTTTCGCGCTTGGGTCGTCGGCTTCAATTGCTGTGTGGCTGCTTTGCTCAAACTCCACACCTCCGTTAAGAGAAACACCGGTGCTGGTAACGGAAATTCAGATCTCCAGTATGTCTTCACAGTGCACTTAAATAGACCAACAAGCTACTGCTGTGTCACTGCATAGGCTTGCAGGCTACATTGCGGCAAGCTGACAGCTCTTTGAGTCAGGTGGACTTTTCTGTTGATCATGATCCTGATGTATGTGTTTGCTATCCTCGGAGCCTCGTCGGCTATTGAGCCTTGGGTCGTAGGGGGCCACATTAGGTTCTAGTGTTGTCTGGTTATAGGTATAGCATGGTATGATCATGATGTACTTAGTACAGTCAGGGGACTTACGACCTTGCAGCAAGGCATGGAGGTCATCACCATCGACACCGGCAGTGACCCCGGGACGGCAGCCTACAACACGGTAGCGGCGGCCAACTTCCGATCCTTCCAGGCCATGGCCCCGACCTGTCGCCATGTTGGAGTTTCCGAAAACATGGGGTACCTTATTTTGCGGTCCAAGCGATGAGAATCCTACTATTTAGGGTACTATATTAGGGTCCCCTATTGCCGGAAACGCCCATGTGAGCCTCCCATGAAGCTTCCGCGTGAGGATGCCATCCTCACATTGCTGCAGATTTTCAGCTTGGATACTCGGACTTCGAGCTGTGTAATGGGACGAGATGAGGGGTCCTTCTGTGCACTGTGTGCACAACATGCCTTTCACACGGACGAAGGGTGCTTCAAGTTCTGACACGAGATCCTCTGCTTAGTGACTTAGGCATAGAGCCTGCTTGTTTTAAGCCTGCAAATTGCAGCTATGCGTCCATGAGTTAGTGGGGTTGTGCCATCCACTTAACCCTTCCATGATGTCGCAAGGCTTGCCAGTATAATATATGCACAAAGCACGCATCCGGCGACCTCACTTCCACACCAAGCCTTCCCAAGGACAGCATCGGCTCCATCTACCGGCCCTTAGTCAACCACCGGATGCCGCCTGGTTTGAACCGCGATGAGCCCCGTCGGGCTCGCTCTAAGGGAGGGAGGGCGATCTTGGTCGAGTTTAGGCCGTTGGGGGGTGCATGTAGCTTGCAAGGCCCATCTCATTTTGTCACACCCTACTCGATTGTGGCAGCATACACCACGACAGGAGCATTCGGAGATTGCATATGCCTAAGGCCCAAGGTCTCATTTGCCCCGGCATCGATTCAGAGGGGTTCTTGCTCGCTGTGAGGTTTTTGTTCTTCTGCTTCCCCTCAGCCCGAATTCCCTCAAATAAAAACCTCGCTGTGAGGTTTTTATTCTTCTACTTCATTGCAGCCATCCTGGTCTTGGCCATTGCGCTGCTAAACTTGGTGACCGGATGGGAATGTATAGTATAGCAGAGGATAGGATGGCATAGCATACTATAGTAGCTTTTCGATATAATATCGTAAAGTCGTAAAGTATACTCAATATAAGATAATACCATATAACATGATGCAGCGGGGCCGCGATGACATTGTTCAGCTCATCCAAGACGATTCGAATTTTCCACGCAGTTTGACTCGGCTTCGTTGCTGTACTTGCAGCAGCGCTTGCGAGGTGACTGCTGTGATGGCCCTCCGGCTGCAGATTTGAATCAGGTTCATGGATGAAGTTTGAGAGGTGAAACTCAAGGATGCCGAAGCTGTGCGAAGAGTTTGGCCATAGCTTATTCCAATCTTGCAGCCTTAGTGATTGTGTGGCTTATTTCAATCTTGCAGCCTTAGTGAATGTGCAACTAACAGGCAGCACCAGTACTTGCAACATGGACCCATCTTTCCAGGTATTGAGTTGTACATACTCCTTGCTCTGAGCGAGGTTGCCACGCGAGTTTCGATCTGTTCCAGCATTCACACTTGATTATCACTTCGCTGAGGTAAACACGTCATTGGATCAGGCCTCCCAGGACCGCCCGCTGTCTTCGAATCGCCAGCCAATCTCGGACACTTCCACTGGCCGGCCCCGAAACCCTCAACGCGGATCGTTTTCGGCCTCTAGAACGAAACCTTGAGGGCTTTTGCACGAGGACAAGGAAGCGAAGAAGGCTTGGGAGGCAGCCAAGCGCAAGAAGGAGGTGGAGCAGCTGCATCCTGGCAACATTCAGAAAGTCAGCTCTATTACGGGCAGATTCTGGCCATGCAAGAACTTCTCATTGAAGCTGGCACATCGACTGCAAGTTATCTTAGGTTTAAGAACTGTTGAAGAGCTGTCTGAACCTGTGCCAAACCGTGCCGGCAAGAATCGCAGAAGCTCAAAAGTAGCGCACATGTCGTAATCCCTACACCCTGAAACCCTAAAGCCCAAAGACACGAAACTCAAAACCCTGAAAAAAAAGAAGCACAAACATTGAGGAAGCGGCTCTTTGGGGAGTTTGACGAGGATGGCTCCGGGGAGCTTACTCTCGAGGAGCTGGAGTCCGCTCCAGAGGACCCGGCCCTACGACATCCTACTGAAGGGTTTAGGGTTCAGGGGTTAGGGTTTAGGGTTTAGGGGTTTGGGTTCAGGGTTTAGGGTTCATACTGTATCTGTATCTGTACCAATATTTTCTATACTGTGCTGTGCTTGCTTATACCAGCTACTCGACTATACTAAGTCATATTGTGCTATACCTGTGTTTCATTATGCTATCCGGTTCTATACTATCCAGCCGACATCAGTCGAGTGCAGCTAGGGCTAGTAGTAGTAATAGTAATGGTATAGTATAATATACAGAGTGCAGTTCAGTCTGAGCCAAGCGAGGCGGCAGTAGGTTGTTGCTCCTTTTCTACAGCGGGGTTCGACTCACAAGCAAGCTGTGCTGAAACACTGAGACAAACATTAATTTGTTGGGTTGCACGCAGGCAGACAGTCTGGCTGCGAGATGCGTCTCTTCATCCAATCCTGTCAGCTGCAGGAACTGCTGGGAGACTTGAAAGAGCTCAGTGGTATCGACGATGTGGAAGAGCTCTTCAATCTGTTGGAGACCTTCGGGGGGGGAGGCGTTTTGGGGAGGCTTCCCGGAACCGCGTGATCAATTGTGACGAAGTGTCAGATCAGACAGCGGGTAAGTGTGTGAAGGTATGAAGAAGTTGCGCGACAATCGGCACAGTGTTTGCCGAAGCATAGGTAGGTATGGCCGGCTTGTAGTAAATCTGTGACCCAAGGATGCGTCGTGTAGAACACTCCGGAAAGCCAGTCACCTTCGGTGGAGGACTATGATGGAGGTGGTGCCATCGACACCAACGAGTTCTGCGAAGGAGTCCTGAAGGCCGCGATGGTGCATGGAACATGGGAAAGGTGTTTCTTTATGTATCAGTCTATCTACCTGCACATGCTGAGCTTTGATGTGGTTAGTGGTCCGCTATGTCTTCTGTACAGTTCATCCATGTGTTGGTTTTATGGCATCGGCGCGTTGCAATATCTTGATCGTCGGGCTTCATCCGGCACCAGCCGGTTGGCATTTCTACTTCGGTACACCATCTCGAAGAAGCAGCCGCTGGCTTGATACTGCCGATCATCTGAGAATCCGCTGCCAGCGATTGAGGTAGCCTGGTTGGTTGCTGACCCTAAACCCTAAGCCCTAAACCCTAAACCCCCCGTGACAAGGTCGCCGGTGATTCACGAAACAGCGTGGAGATGGGTCGGCTGATGAAGCAGTGTTCCTCGGGCTTGATGCCTTCTCGAGACTATGTTCAGCGGCCGTTCTCGTGGCATTTTTGGGAGCTTGCCAGGGGAAGGGATTCATCTTGAATCTAGGTGTGCGTGGAAAAAGCAGCATGAGACAGTGTGCGGTAACTTCGGGTTGTTTTCAGCCTAACAAGGCAATGAGATTCTCTCCAACACCAATGCGGTGATGGAATCTGTGAAGGCACGTGCATCTGCTGAGACGACGTGTGTTCACAGCTTTCAAGCCCTTGTGAAGGCTTGGCGGGGTCAAGCATTCTCTTGAGCTAAACTTGGAACTTTCTGTAACGTGTCATAGTATGTCATAGTATATTTTAGCATATTATAGTATATTGTAGTATATTATGATATATTATAGTATACCATAGTATATTCTGATATATTATAGTATAATTAACACATCCAAGAGCAGCGTGCAGAGCTTTTCAAGGCATGAGCGCTTGTCAGGCGCCAGAGGAGAGCGTGAAAGGTCGAGGCCCATCTCGCTTTGGGCGTTCAATCATGGCTGCTTGGAGGTTATAGGGTTCCTTTAAGGATTCTATAGGGTTTAGGGTTCATGGGTAGTTATAAGTAGGGTAATAGGGTTCCTTTAAGGGTTCTGTAGGGTTTAGGGTTCATGGGTAGTTATAGGGCTCCTCTAAGGGATCTAAAAATAGGTTTCTGTAAGGGGTCTATAAGGGGTCATAATTGGAGGTTCATGGGTAGTTATAAGTAGGGTTATAAGTAGGGTAACTATAACTATAACCCATATTAGGGGCCTTATAACCCCACTTAGAACTACCCATGAACCTCCAAGTGTCCTGTGTTTGCGATGAAGATGGGTCTTGCGAAGCATGTCGGTTCAGAACTTGGTGCTCATTGCGGTTCGTGTTCAGCGTTCGGAGAACCGATGCTGACGTCGACCCTCTCTCGCAAGCTCGTGGTGTGGGTTTGTGTTTGTGTGCGTCCTGCGCATGTGTGCGCTTAGTCCAGCTCCACATCAGTATAATAACACGATCGACAACACAGGATGACGTACTCGCGGGAAAGTTGCAGCCAGTTGTGTTGCACATGAGATCTTTGTCGGAGGACCTCGTGGCTCCCGCTTCACACTGGATGAGAGGCGAGGGGACAGGGTCTGCTGCGGAGGAACATAGTTGCAACAATCCCGTCCCGATGCAGCTGGATGCTAAGGTTGCGCAGTGAACTGTTCTTGTTGGATCTATGAGAGCAGAGCTGTTCACTCTGTAAGGAACCAGAAACAGACAGCTGCACAGGCAGGGACCCGGACTCACGGAGCGTGTCGTGAAGCTCGAGAGCGAGGTCAGCATCAGCAGGGGTCGAAGATTTCTTGCCGGGCTCATTTGCCCCGTTAGTTCTGGTAGAAGTGAGCGACGTGGGTATAAATACCGGAGGCCACTTCAGTCCCCAGTTCCCTCGAACGTTTGCAGGGTCTGGACTGCTTTCGTATTTTATTACCAGGTGTCGGACCTTCACGGCGACCTTTGGTGGGCGGTCAACAAGCTCCAGTGCCGAGCCAATGCACGCAGGGGAGCCCAAAGCGTCAGAGTATCAGAGTTGCAACGCGCAAGCCACGGTTTCAGCTCTCTTTCTTGGTGCGCACAAGGTGCCGGACATCCGGGCTAGTTGCCGCCGAAGACTGAGACGGAGCGCCACATGAACTCTCCAAGTCGTTCGACCAGAAGATCGCGATCGAGCGCTGCACTGCAGGTTCCCTGCAGGGCTTGAGGCCGTACCCACGTATGCGCCTTCAGTGGCCGAGCGGACCGCTGGCAGTAAGCCCGGTTTCGTGAAGTGAGTCGACGGTACTCGAATCGAAGGCTCGAGCAGGTGGTACAGTAGTGTCTAGGTATGTCCAGGGCTTCGTTTGGGTTTGGAACTGTTAAACAGTTCTGAATCCCTGCAAGGCGAGGATTAGAGTGAAGATCTGAAAATTGTCGATAAGTTCCTGTGATTTCATACCACAGTTACCGAGACCAGCGTGAGGGTTTGTATAAAAGCATCATATGTTGAAACTATCGACATTGGGTTGTATATATATATATATATACATATAGACTATGTTGTCTGAAGATGTAAGAGTAAGACCGGAACTAGTAGAGAATAAAGAAGAAACCAAGAAAATAAGAATGGTATAGATAGTGTACGAAAGATTATATCCGGGAGTTTCCATGATTGGATTCAACTTTGAGATTATTATTTAAACTGACGAAAAGTTACAGTAAAGTAGCAAGCCTTAAGCCTCCAAGAAGGCTGCAGCTGCAGTAAAGTAGTACTTAAGTCTTAAGTCTTTAAGAAGACTGTAGTGTTTAACAGGACACGCCGCTAAGCCAACAAAAAAAGAGTTGAGGGAGAACAAGGTTCCCTTGACTCCATGGGGAATTCCTGAAACAGCCAAAAACCTGGATGTCCAGTAAAATTTCCTTTACATATCGGGTATTTCATTAATTAATCAAAATCTCGGACTAGCTCGGTCCTGTATTCACCAGGATACCCTCCAAATGTATCATTGCAGAAACTCCGCCCTGTGACCAGCCGCTGTGTCTAATTTCGAGTTGGACCAGAAACAGGCTTCTCGCGATGTGAGCCTTCGACTCGATCACTTGTTCAGCCGAATCCTCCGATGCTTAGGGCTCGAGTTCAGCAGCTTACACCCCTTTGCAGCACAGTGCAACACGATGGTCGCACAGGTGCGCTTGGCAGGAACAGATTGGTAATTATCTTCTGCTGTTGGGTTTTTATATCCGAGAGGCTGTGGCAGAGCGCTTCAAGGCCGGTGGCCCCGCTGCCAAGCCAGGTGCGAGCCAGCGCAAGAGAAGCGTTGCAGGGGATTCTGGTTTGGGTCCAGTTGCGAGTTGCCTCAGATTTCAGAAGTGCAGGGTGAAGCTGGCTGCAAGGGGATTTGGGTTATTTTGGGTTCAAGATGTTTCAAGCCAATCCAAGACAAGGTCGTTATATCAACTAACAGCCAATCCCTGTTGCGCTTCGCCTCGACTTGTCGAGTCATCCATTCAATCTACCCATGCACAGAATTGCAACACCTTCGACAGCCTCCGGTTGCGGGTTAAGGACGCGCAGGGCCATTTCGGATCATGCGTTTCGATCACCCATGGCCTCTGGATTGTTGTTGGAGCCTTCGGTGTCGAGCGGCAGGTCAGAGATGTTTGTAAGCCATAGTTCTCGTCCTCCGACGTGTTCTGGTCCCTGAGCGCAGAACCTGGTCCACAGGTTCGCTCCTCAAGGTTGTCGGAAGGCGACAAAGACAGCTGGAAACTCAGGGTTTAACCGGAAGTTAGCCGGGATGCTCGTAAAACAGGGACCAAATCATCTGACTCCATCACTGACGACGTGAAAAGACACATCGTGCTGTCCCAGGTTAGGCAGTGATGTTAGGCCCAGACGCAGTTTTCAGGACGCTCGTGAAGGTTTAAGGAGATCTTCTACTTTCAAGACACGGCCTTCGTGGCTACGGAACGGATCTAAAGCTAGACCCGTCCTTTCTTGTTAGGAGTCTGTTAGATGTACACTCCACCGATACGAGCACTTCGTAGTTACTGGAAATACCTTGTGGACAAGAGTATCGCCTCAGTTCCTGGCGGTTCACAAACCTTCAAACAAGCCTCAACCCTTGCAGCCCCGCCGCCGAGGCTGCTGGCCATGCAAGAGGCCCGAGCAATTCAACTGGTTTTGGAGCTTTGTCCAACACAAGCCAAACAGGCCTTGGAAGCGGTGCATGTTGACCAAGGATCCAAAGCCATCGGAGATCCAAAGCAAACTTACTAGTACGATTTCGAGAGATGAGCAGTGGAAATAGCGAAATCGTTGGCTGCTAGGCTGCTTGGGGGACCAACTTGCCAGCCTCTCGCTACTATTCGGAAGCTGGAGCATGCCCGACGTGGCATGACGTTGCCAACCCCACAAGACCACACGGTGGCCCGAAACCGAGCACGTCCAGGCCTCTCAGCTGGCAGAGTCACAGCGGCAGGAAGAGGAGGCCGTTTGCTTCTGAAGACCATGGCGGTTCTAGCCCGACATCGAAGTAGAGGCCTGCATACCAGAGCGTTCGAAATAAGATATCTAAATTAGAGGATGTTGATGAAAATGGTGAAAGGAATTGCCGCACGAATGGATAATATGTACCACATTCCAGAATCGCGGATCTTTCCACGCAGACTCGCCGACGGCAAGCTCGTGTTGCGGCCCTGCCGCCAGAACCAGCAGCAGACGAGCATCACGGCTGCAAAGCTCGCAGGCTTTACCAGATTTCTGCAGCAGAACAGTCATTCTCTCGGCAAGAACTTCTCAAAGCTTGCCCAAGAGCTCAAACAATCGTGTGTGGATTCTCTTGCTCCTACAGTTTGGGAGAGGCCTTCTTCATTAAGGCTTGGAGTTGTCTTCGCTTGAGCCTCGAATTCACTTTCCCCATCACCAACTCCAGAACAGTTCGGGCCCAGAGGATGGAGTAGTGGAAGCGCAAGAGTGCTGACAGTAAGCAGTTAACGAGTCTGAAGTGAAATAACAGCATATAGTAGTAATGATGGCAACCGCTGATAATAATATATGAAGAATCATCGAAATACCACGATTAATGATCGTCAATGCAGCAACCATCATCATCATGAAGAGGGTCATGAAGACCATGCTAGTCATAACGGTCACAATACGAAAACCGCTACTACCAACTGCAATGCCAAAGCGCAGGTGGGTCGGTGCTTGTCTTGTGTTTTATGCTGATAGTGGAGTTGTTGCTTCATCGTATCACATTGTTTCAGCCGTGTGGGAGACAAGTGTTTGCACACCGTCGCATGCTGTTTGGGTAAGTCGGGCCCATGATTTTAAGCCAAGCCAGCGGCGATGTTGATGTCCACCCCCGCCTAACCTGTCTTTGTGTTGCACATGCTTTCTGTACAATATAGGGGCCTAAATAATTACCTATGCCATTTTGGAGGAACCCCTATTCTAATTATTAAAGCCCCTATATTACATGCCTTCCTACATAGGTGTTGCACGACATTGCCCCAAGCCGGGCATCCTGTGAGCCTCGAGTCAACAGACCCCTCTTGATCCCTCTTGCGATGTCTCGACAAGAGCTTCAGGCTCGGAGCTCATGTTCTTCGGGTGTGGAGCTCAAGGAAGAAAGTCCCTATCATTATCATAACCTATCCATGTAGTCAATGTTAGTGCGACATAGCAAGCTTCAGCTCACAAGGTCTTAGCAGCGGCAGTTGCAGACTCCGAGCTGCAAGCCCTTCGAGGTGCTGGTGCGACAGTCTTTTCTGAGAGTCAAGCAAAGAATCCAACCAGGTGAAGTCGAGAAAATGCAGGCTTCTCATCTGGCAGAAATGGAGGAGCTGTGCAAGCCTCAGTGAACAGCATGGCGACGGATCGCAGGTTGAGCGCTCGAACCCTTCAAGCTTCTGACGCTCAGTTTTGGTCCGTAGAGTCCGACTCGGAGCTTCGAGGCGAAGCGAGACTAGGAAAGAAGCCAGGGAGTTGGCAGAGAAGCATCAAGGACAAATGCAGAGCATCCGAGAGGACTGCGCACCCATTCTGGTGTTTTGCTTGTACCTTTGTGGGGGTGTGGCAGCCTCGGCTCCAAGCATCGCACTTCCTGGGATGACTCGAGATGCGTCTACAACTCCACACTGAAACGGCGTTGAACGGCCAAAGTAAGTTACGCGGGCATGGGGCTCCATGAAGGCTTTCCTTGTGAAGACTCTTTGGCTGGGATGCGCTTCGTGCGGCTATTGCTTCAGCGAGCAAACAAGAGCCACGGCTGAACGGTGAACCAACAAGCTCGAGGGGAAGAAGTGTTGTTCACTTCGGGAAGCAAAGCTCACTCTCAACCTCTCAGCTCTGTCCTGCTTGAAACGTCCACAGGCAGAATTTAGTCTTCGTCCTCCTTTCTGTGCATGCAGCTTGCAGCATTTCTTCCGCAGTGGAGTCATCAGCGTCCTTGCCATCAACATGACTGGCCTCGTCTCCGCTTGCAGCACTGTTTATGTATGTTTTTGTAGTGTCATCAGCATCACAATATCAGCCACCGTGACTTTGCGTTGCAGCTTGAGATGTGGCAAGCATCCACGTCACCGACTCACATGTCAAGTGAGTGGGCTACGGTCCCATGAACACGATAATGGTAACGTGAAGATCGGCGTTTAAGATTTGGTAATTCACAGCATGTTCCAGATCATGGCCAGCGACACCAATAATAGAGTTGCATCACCGAAGGAGCTGGAAAAGAATCAGGCTGAATTGCGGTTGATCACGGAACAGTGTGCCCGACCTGTTTTTTGATGTGATGAAAAGACGCCATCGAGATTCTGACAGGACGGCAGCCCTCCGATCAGACTTTACCGCCTTGCACAAAGAGCTGGCGCACGCTAAGGAAGGGAACACACATGGCAAGAGAGCTGTGTGCAACTGCTACATCTCGAGATCTGTCTGTTCGTGAGGTGAAACTCAAGACAACGCGTTCCGAGGCGGTGCTCGGATTTCACAAGCGACCCCGTAATCGCTGCTTGTGGAAAGGTAAGTTTGTGATGTGCACCGGCTAGCAGCGGCAAGGCCAAGCGCCGGAAGAAGGAGGAGGAGCAGGCACGTGGGCGATGTCCAACATGTTGTTGCGTTATCTTGAGTTAAGCTGCCCTCGAAGTCAGCCTCACTTCGCGCAGGAGAAACTCCGGAAAGAGGAGAAAAGGAAGAAGCAGGCAACTGCCGTTAGCAGTACCGCCCAATAGGTTGTAAATTGCAACTGACTTGATGATCTAGTCTCCGATCTGAGCACTTCAAACATCTTATCCTGTGACGCTTGACACATGACCCGACCTGTCCGAGGAAGCGAAGGAGAAACTCCACAAAGAAGAGAAAAGGAAGGAGGAAACTGCCGCTAGCAGTGCAGCCCAGATGTTCCTGAGTTGCAGTCTGACTGCGTGATTTGCTCTCCGATGTGAGCACTCTAAACATCACACGCCGATGCTGGAAGTTTGTTTGTGCAGATTTTTTGGGTGGAATTGGCCATACAGGAGAAAGAGAAAAAAAGAAAGCGCCACGCTTACTCTGTTTTGTTCAGTCAGCTCAATGTTCTTTTGCGGACTGTGAGTGTGCGAATGTGGTGGGGTCAGCACGGGGGTTGGTTTATCCGGGATGGATGAGAGGGCGTGGCATAGAGGCATATAGGCAATGGCACGATTGACTTGTATCCAAGCGCTCCCAAAAGCGCGTTGAATGAGGAGGATCACCGAGATCGTGACGAAGCTGGAAGGCTTGGGGCTGGTTCATGGTGAGTCTGAGACGAAACGGGTGGCTTTAGTTCGTTGGCTTTGAAGTTTCAGCAAGTTTCTCCAAGCCGGCCGATGTTAATTCCCATAGTTTTCTTCGAAGTCAAGCAAAGTGCGACACGAGAACAGTTATATTTTTTTTGTGTCAAGCCCTCGCTTTCAAACCACCTCACCCGAGAAGCTTGCCAGTTCGCTTGAGCCTGCTTGAGCCATCTTGTGCTCTTCCCGTCCATGAGCGGCCCTCCTCCAACAAATGTCCTGAAATTCTCATCAACATTTTGACCCATGCGAAGGCCTTTAGCAAGCTGTTGCCAGGTGTTTTGCACACGCTTCTTCAGCCCGCTTCAATCTTGCAGCCCCAAGCGCTACCTAGACCTACTTGGAGGTTCATGGGTAGTTATAAGTAGGGTTATAAGTAGGGTAACTATAATAATAGCCCATATTCGGGGACTTATAACACCACTCATATCTACCCATGAACCTTCAAGTAGATCCTGAGCCTTCATCCCCAAGCCTTCATCTTAGGAACCTGGAGGGGGGTGCTAATACAGAGGGAGGATACTTGAGATTTAAAGAAGCTCTTCTTCTCAAAGCCCCCGACGGTCCAAAACCCCCGGGTCCATCAAGTCCCCGGGAGCTTCATCGGATTTGAAAACGCAGCTCCACAAATCGGCCACGGAAAATGGGAGTTCCGCTCAGGGTCCTCATCATCCGCGGAAGCTTTGTCCGGGGCCCGGTGATCGGTTTCGGCCAACCGATTCTGTGACTTCTCTCCTAGTTCTATGCGTCCTGCCCGAAACCCTACCCTAAACCCTAAACCCTAAACCCTAAACCCTAAACCCCTACCCCTCAACCTTGAGCCCCTGAATCCGTGAACGCTAGAACTCGACTCTCGGCTCTGGATCCCTCGCCTTCGGTTCGTCTCAGGATGCCCCCGTCCAAGGCCCCGAAGCGCGGCGGCCCAGCATGGCTTTGGCCATCTAGCCCTCTGGTAGTTGGTGGGTGTAGGGACAGTGCTGAAGAGGAACTTGTTGAAAGAAATTGTCGCTGAGGTTGGCACAGCGTCTTCTCTCGTGGCTCTGGCCCGCCAGTGCTTCCGGCCTGTTGTAAACCCCTTTTGACTTTGAGCTTCGGCGTTGAAGCGAGTGTCAGGTTTCAGGACTTACTTGGAGGTGCATGGGTAGTTATAAGTAGGGCAACTATAGTTATAACCCATATTAGGGGACTTATAACCCCACTTATAACTACCCATGAACCTCCAAGTAGACTTGGATTTCATGAGAGCCGCTCGGAGGACTTCTCCCAAACCCTACTAACAGTCATTCGATAGCTTTTGTTTCGAGGTTTCCAGCTCGGGCCTGTTAGAAGTTTGTAAAATCATCGACTCTCAAGAGTTGATTAGGGTTTAGGGCTTACAACGCCTGAACCCGTAAAGCCCAAAACAAGCAACTTCGGTTCCTAGGTTCCGGCGTCGCGGATGGCTCACTGGGAAACGGTCCGGAACACTCAGTTCGGACGGTGTGTGCGTGTGTGATCTCTTAAAGGCCACTGAGGCTCATGTAAGTCAATTAGCCCCGTGCTTGATTAGGCTCACATGGTCAGTGAGGGCCTAGCAAAAGTGCGCAATAGTTCCAGCTCACACAGACAACAGCCTGTCGTTATGTACACCAGAAGCCCTCGACTCCTAGCAGTTGAACCTGCCAAGGCAACAAGGACGACGCAGCGAGGCGTGCGTTTCGCTGCCTGCACCTTGAAGCCGTTCTGCGGCGTCTTGTGAACAGCTCCGGGGAAGCCAAGATGGCTGCACTTCACCTTTCGGGAGCAGCCACTGCGTGAGGGGACGGCGGCCTGTGGATCAAGTGTGCTGCCAGCACAGAATCTGCCATGCGATATCGGAGTTCATTCCTGGTGGTTTTGTATGTGTTGAAGGAATTAGTTTACAAAACACAGGGCACCGTCCTCAAACAAAACACCAAAACCACGAACTTTCTGCGGTTCTTCTGCATCAGAATCCTTAAATCTCTGTTGGAGGAAAGAAGAGGCATCACCGATCCTCCACTGGTCAGGGCCTTGGCAGTTGAAGCATTAACAGGGTTCAGTTTTAGGGTCCGGAGTCTTGAAATGCTTTTACAGCAAATTAGCGAGTGCAGACCGCCTTTCCCATGGGGCTTCGGGCCTCTGGGAGGCTTGAAAGCCTGAGGGCACCTGCAAGCTATTTGGCTTGGCTCTACCGGGTTCGATAAGATGTTCAGATTGGAAAGGATGTGATCTGCTCTTCTGGCTTCAGTCATCATATCATGTTCGTTAGGGCTCAGGAGGGCAGGCTTTCTGGGGTTGGAGTGGGGTTCACCGCTGAGGGTTCCTCGTCTGGAAGTCGGCGGGGCTCGCATTTCTCCTGATTGTGATTGATCCTGGCCACGGCGTGGATTGGGAACATGCCATTCTGTGGTTCCCGAATCACGGTGGTTGAAAGTCTGCGGAGCTTCAACTGACACTACCACCATGCTCTGAGTGCATCTGACCCATTCCAGTTAGAGGCTGCTGATCGGCGGCAAGTTCGCGGCGACTGCGCCGGAGCTGCGGAGGATCTGATCAGTGTAAAGTCAGAGCCCCCAGTTGGCCCTCAATTCTCAAACTTCTCGTGGCTGAGCCTTTGAAGATTCCAGACCGGAGATATTGCGGCCACCCGATTCGCAGGACTGAGGTGACGCACGTCTTGAATTGTTCCGAGTGCGGAAGCCAAGACATACACATATGTGGCTTCATACTGGGCCCTTTGTCCACCACGATTTCCTCATGGGACTTGCCAGGAATAGGAGCCTGTCATAGACCCCCCCCCCCCCTTCCTTGCGTGACCGCAAGACAGGATCCGACTGATTCGAGCGTGCGCTGTCTTTGCAATGCTGCAGGCGAGTGCCGTTTCAGACGTCGGTGCGGACCTGCAACATGCCAGCGTTTCTGGAGGTGGGTTTCTGATGCTGCGGTTTCCCATGCGGCTTCAAATTCAGAATGCCTCCAGGATGAGCCGGACGAAGAGTTGTCCACGGTGCTCGAGACCGCCGTCCACTTCCTGGACGAGGCAGTGGGGACCGAGCTGAAGGATTCTGAAGGATTGGCGTGCGAGCATACAGGCCAGCAAGGTCGAAGGCATGCTACGATTAAAAATTTCAATTTCATGATATACTCAATGTGCTAAGAAAGCACATTCCCAGCACATCTGTGTATGAATCGCTACCGAAGAATATGTCGATGTTGTGTCTCTTGCGGAGTGCTGTCCACTTGATCAGGACGTTGGTACCCACCAGCCAAGAAACTCGCCAACTCCGAAGCCGCAAAATCTACGTATTAGGGTGCAAGCAACTTTCGTTATACATAGACGCACGAGCGCCAACTTCTGTTCATCAACAACGTGCATGCTTGCTTGCAAAGGGGTCAAGTTCACACGTTGACATGCGTGATATATTTTCAAGAGAATCGACGCCCGGCCCAAACAACATGGATCCACACAAGTCCTTGCTGTCGAAGCAGTCAGCATTGGTGACCTGCCTATAATACAAGGTTACAAGGGTCTTTGCCAGGACACATGCTGACCCGAGGGACAGCGGGAACTCGGGGAACATTGCGCATGCCACATGACGAGATGAACACAATGGGTTTTAGTGATGAGAGTCGTGTTGATGGCACGGCAGCATACAACAAGCTGTGTTTGCAGTCGGAGTCGCTCGAGCGACCGTCTGGCAGTCTTCTTGGGAAAACCTTGCCTCTAATGTGATTTTGCGGATGCTCCACAGTTCCATTCACGCAGCAACGACACCAGACACCAGTGTCGGAGATCACAAGCATGCAAGGATCGACTCAGCTATACGCAAACTGGCAGGTGCAACACCGCGGCGGTCGGTGCTTGGTCAACTGCCGCAAAGGTGTCAGCCGGTCTGTCGAAGCCTCAAACTGCTGCGAAGCGATGTTCAAGTCGCGACAACGTGATTCGAAAGTCGGATTGACAAGTAGTAATTGCCTGTGGCCCAGAAGGAAAGGCATCCAACAACTCCCATACCTGCACCCTGGCAAGAGGTGTCCATCGTGCTCGCTTACCTCATCCTGCGCCACAGTAGCGGTCCCAGACTGTTTCTGGCATTAGATGCAACAGCGGTGGGCTGCAGGCAAGCCCGAGTGCCCTTGTCTCAAGCCCGAACACGCCGAGACCTGTCCTTGCGGGCGGCTTGGGAGCTCGTGAAGACGCAGCGGCCAGCCTGCGGCCCAGGGACGAGTCGCACTAGACGTTTCGCGAAGATGCAGTGGCGCACGCCTTTAAAAGCGAGGTAGCGCTACCAAACACGGGCTTCCGCCGGCAGCTCCTGCAGCTGGAACTTGCCAAACGAGGAACAGCAGCGGCGAAAGGGGGAAGAGGGAGACCAAGTGGATAGTGCTGAGTTGAACAATGTGAATCCGCATCAGTGTCAGGGCCACTGCCAATCAATAGTCCGCCCAATCAGTTCGACACATTCCATGGCGCGAGGCAGTTCCTCCATGGTCGCAGCGGATTTCAATGCTTGAGGCTCGCAGAGCTTGTTAGCAGTGAGCTGTGTCGCTGTTCTTGTCCACTTGTAGCCGCTGCCAGCGGCTGGTTCTACTCGTAGGTTGTCTTGGACAATCTTCGACTTAGATCACCAAAACAGCATGATCCGGGTACGTCCAGGTGCACGTCGCCTGCATGCACGGCCTACTGCTGTGGCGTCCACATCCACGAGGGCACGACCTGCTCGAATGCCGCCTTCGTCGGTGATCACTACTGGAACAAGGACCCCTGAATGAACGCCCGCTACGTGATTCAGGGCGCCATGCCCTCGCTCGGGAACGACCTGAGCGTCACCAGTGGACACGGCCGGTCCGTGATGATCCAGGACTACGACGCTGTTCGGATTGATTGCGCCATCATCGAGATGCCGGAGGAGGAATAGCCAGAGCCAGTGGACAGCGCGGCATGATGTGCAAAAAAGAAGAATTCGGGATGGCCTGCCTCGAGCGCTTCAGGTTTCACCTACTCTGGGCCCCTTCGAGCGCTAGGCCCCCCCCCCCAAGGCTCCAGACGACACCTTTTTAGGGCCCCTCAAAGGCTCCAGGCGACACCTGTTTTAGACCCCCAAAGGCTCCAGGCGACACCTGTTTTAGGCCCCCAAAGGCTCCAGGCGACACCTGTTTTAGGCCCCCCCAAAGGCTCCAGGCGACACCTCCTTTAGGCCTCCCCGCGCAAAGGCTCCAGGCGACAC